TGCACCTTAGTCCTCAAAGTGACATCTTTGCTTTTTAACATTTTAAAGAGGTCTTCTGTAGCAGATTTGCCCAATGCAATATCTTGTTTGATTTCTTGACTGCTGTTTACATGAGTGTTGATTGTGGATCCAAGTAAAATGAAATCCTTGACAACTTCAGTCTTTTCTCAGTTTATCATGATGTTGCTTCTTGGTCCATTTGTGAGGATTTTTGTTTTCTTTATGCTGAGGTGTAATCCATACTGAAGGCTGTAGTGTTTGGTTTTCACCAGTAAATGCTTCAAGTCCTCTTAACTTTCAGCAAGCAAAGTTGTGTCATCTGCATATTGCAGGTTGTTAATGAGTCTTCCACTGATCCTGATGCCATGTTCTTCTTCATATAGTCCAGCTTCTCGGATTATTTTCATAGCATACAGATTGAATAAGTATGGTGAAAGGATACAACACTGACACACACCTTTCCTGATTTTAAACCACGCAGTATATCCTTGTTCTGGTCAAATGACTGCCTCTTGGTCTACGTACAGATTCCTCATAAGCACAATTAAGTGTTCTGGAATTCCCATTTTTCACAATGTTATCCATAATTTGTTATGATCCATGCAGTCAAATGCCTTTGCATAGTCAATAAAACACAGGTAAATATCTTTCTGATAGTATCTGCTTTCAGCGAAGATCCATCCGACACCAGCAATGATATCCCTTCTTCCACATCCATTTCTGAATCTGGCTTGAATTTCTGGCAGTTCCCTGTCAACATACTGCTGCCACCATTTCTGAATTATCTTCAGCAAAAATTTACTTGAGTGTGATATTAATGATATTTATCAATAATTTCCCCATTCTGTTGGCTCTCCTTTCTTTGGACTGGACACAAATACAGATCTCTTCCAGTCAGTTGGCCGGGTAGCTGTCTTCCAAATTTCTTGGCATAGACGAGTGAGCACCTCTAGCATGCATTGTTTGTTGAAACATCTCAATTGGTATTCTGTCAATTCCTGGTGCCTTGTTTTTCACCAATGCCTTCCGTGCAGCTTGTACTTCTTCCTTCAATACCATCAGTTCTTGATCATATGCTACCTCCTGAAATGGCTGAATGTCGAAAAGACATGAGTCCTTAGCCTGGGGACTCTGTAGCTAAGGATCTTGTTCCTGCACAAGGAATGCATTAACATGAGTGCAAACATGACTGGACTGTCTGCTCCATCTGGAGGCCCCACCTGGCCAAGGAGGCTGAGCTCAACCTCGCAAATCTCAGCAATTCAAGCTCACTCTCACTCCCAGATAAAGATGTCTTTGATACACTACCTTTCCTCGGCTACCGGGTGCATGATCCTCTTGATCTAAAGTTCTTTCTTTTAATGATTAAAAAATAAAAAGCCTACATGAAAGCACACAGTGGGCACTTAATGATTTTCCTTCCTCCCTCTCCCAAGGCAGGTACAGAGCCAGGGGGAGAATCCAGGTTGCCTGACTCTTGTAACAGTGCTCTTTCTGTTGTACCTCAAACCCATGTTTCCTGCTTCTCTCTGGCCATACTCCCTCCCTATCCTTTGCTGTCTCCAGGTTTAGTTCTTGTTCCTTTATCTCTTTACCTCTCTTAGAAGCCCGTGGGAGCCCAGGAGACCCCATGGGAAACTCTGGAGCTCACATCCAGTCTAGAACCTCAGGTGACCCACAGAGAAGCTTGTCTCTGTTCTCCAGTTCCAGGACCAGACCATGTAGCTTTGAGGTCTGCTGAGAGTCATACCCGAACCAGGGAAGAAGGGAGAGCTTGCAGTCTAGCTTGGTATGGACACCTGGATATACTCCCACCCCACAGTTCTGTTCAACACAAAATCTACTCATGAAACACCTGGTGTCTGCAGCCAGTGTACTAGACACAGTGGGAAACACTGTCTGTCTCAAGGAGTGAGATGCCTAGCAGGGGGCACAGGAGAAGTCCTGATAAAACCCATGTGACAAAGAAAGATGTGGTAAATTCTGCTGCACAAGAGACACAAACCTCCATTTAGGAATTCAGAGGGTTGATAGGTTAATTCATTCTTTTCATCAAATATTTATTGGTCACTCCCTATTTTGTACTAGACACTTTGGAAGGTACTTAGGAGGGACGAGACATGTGCAAAAGCTC